TGACTGTTCACGAAAACCATGCATGTAAAGTGTATATTTGTTAGGGTTAACAAGTTTTTTTCTTTAATTTTTAGAGTCGATCAAATTAAGTAAATCTTATATTCGTTGTTTTCTTTATCTATATGTTATCGTTGATTCTTTGTATTGTTGTTATTGGTCTCAAGATGTTCTCCCCTACATTATGTTAGGATACAAGAGGGATTAGTAGCTTCTCAGTTCCTAAATACAGTGAGAGATTGAGACATCAACATGGCAAAATCACTTCTGAGGGTTTGCTTGCTGAAGTATGTGCCAAAAGGAATGGTGTCTATAGAATTAATCTCCAGTTGCTGCTGTAGGATGAGGTCATGTTTGCTACTCTATCTTCCTATGTCCTTCACACTCCAACCTCCAATTCCTGCTCGTGAAACTTATCTTCGACTTCTTCCAATATTTTAGTCTGCAGGATGAGGTCATGTGTGTTACCCCATTTCACCATGCTCAGTCAGAGGCAGAAGAAACAAGCATGAACTTATCCGCAGCTGCTGTCAAGCTCAAACTCCCCATGTTACCTAAGACAAGGACCATGAAACAAGCACCCTTGCATCCATGAACACAGCTGCTTATCACTTTGTCACACCTGAATGGGCCACTGGTGCCAAAGATTAGAGTGCCATAGAGACTCTATGGATGCTTGGACAAGAATCAAGACCTTTAGTGCTCTTTGCCATCATAATATTTCCTCATGTTGTAGATAGCATATGTGATCAACATAATCATGGCTAAATTATCGAATCCATCTTTTTTGTATGGTTAATTTAAACCCATTTTTTGCTTTCTTTTGTACTCTTTTTCACCTTTCTTTTAGCCTCAACTTAGTCTTTAGCATGTTTCTTTCTATTGGCTTTACCAAAAAGATGAAAGAATGCCATTGCCAATCCACCAACCCTTCTTGCAGTTTGCTTCTGTCCACTAGGTGGATTATGATTCATGTTTGACATTCAAGCAAACACCTAGCAAAATCAACATCTAATACATGAAAGCAAGCCATACATCACATTAGTTGATCTTTGCTTGTTTTATTATCCGTAGATCATTAATAAAGAAAGAACATCATCCAAATATTAGAATAATCTTAAGTACTTGATTTAAGTACATCGGTGTATGATCTGGTCTATTTCCTATAGGTTGAGGGTTTGAAATCTCATTTTGGTGCTTTAGACATCCATTGTACATTCGTTTTTCATAACCTCTTAGATGGGTTTGATGGGCGATCAAAAGAAAAGAAAAGAAAAGATCAGATAAAAGAGAAGAAGTATGATATGGTGGCCTTATAACTAACTTGCAATGGTCAACTAAGAGTCAATACTACTTGCATATTGATGGAATGTTACTTATACTTTTTGACTGAATATTGTCATAATAACCCAAATCAGTGCCGCTTTCTTCTCCGCCTTTAACTCCACCGATCAAGTTAGCCTACAGAACTTAACCATGCAATAGCAACTTTGATCTTGGGAACACAAACCCAATAGTCAAACTGCACACCAGTTTCAGAATGGGTTTGGCAGAAAGGTTGCATCCCTGGAACACAATCCTTGGTGCACAAGCAGTTGTTGTCAAGATCTTGATTGCACAACCTGAAATGGATTCAACCTCTTCCTACCTCAATTGACTTCAAAGCATGGAAGCCATCTGCATGAAAACTTCCAGTTTCATGCATGCCATGCCCATTTCCCTCCCTATGCTCAGGTCTCTGTGTGTCATCTCATAAATCTCGGCAGAGTTTGCTTTACTTCTCAGCCACGAACACTAAAACCCTCACACAAACCCTATAAATACCAGCCAACACAACCGGAGTGCACTATGAGAAGCTTACATGGCTGAACTCAACAGCTCCATCATCCTTCTCCTTGTCGTACTCATCTCCACCCACCTCTTGTCATCTGCCAATGAAGTGTACAACATCGCCGAGTACGGAGCCAAGTCCGATGGCCGGACGGACTCGACCAAACCCTTGCTCGGTGCATGGCAGGCAGCATGCGGCTCGCCGGGGCCGTCGACCGTCCACGTGCCGGCTGGATCCTTCTTGGTTCGTCAGGTCACCTTCAATGGCCCTTGCAAGAGCAGCAAGATCGTCATCCGGATCGACGGCACTCTCGTGGTGGCGTCCGACCTCGGCAGGGTCGGTGAGTGGATAGTGTTTGATCACGTCGAGGGGGTGTCGGTGTTCGGCGGGACCATCGACGGCCGCGGCGCGTCCCTGTGGGCCTGCAAGGCCACCGGACGGAGGTGTCCCGGCGGCGCCACGGTGAGCTTTCAACCACAAAACGTGACTCTGATCTAACTGGAACTGCACTGATCGCTGTCTTCTTCGCGACGCGTGCATGCAGTCGCTGACGTTTAGGAACTCGAAGCGCATCATGATCAGTGGGCTGACGTCAATGAACAGCGAGCTGTACCACGTCGTGATCAACGACTGCGAGGGCGTCACGGTCCAGGGCGTCAGGATCATGGCGCCGGGCAACAGCCCCAACACGGACGGCATCCACGTCCAGATGTCTAGCTACGTGACCATCACGGGGGCCGTCATCAGGACCGGCGACGACTGCATCTCCATCGGCCCCGGCACCACCAACCTGTGGATCGAACAGGTCAACTGCGGCCCAGGGCACGGCATAAGGTAAGAACGTACATGCACAACCACCACGTAGCTTTTCACCCACTGAACCAGTTCGTGAGCGGTGGCAGCATAGGGAGCTTGGGGAAGGGATACGACGAGGAGGGGGTGGAGAACGTGACGGTGAACACGGCGGTGTTCACGGGGACGGAGAACGGGCTGAGGATAAAGACGTGGGGGAGGCCGAGCGAGGGGTTCGTCAAGGGAGTGGTGTTCGAGCACGCCGTGATGCAGAACGTCCGAAACCCCATCATCATCGACCAGAACTACTGCCCCGACAACAAGGGATGCCCCGACCAGGTACAGACACTCATCCCTATCCCTTCCGCAGAAGCCATCAAGATCAGAACTAACCTCCTCTGCGGCTCGCATTCTCCGCAGAACTCCGGCGTAAAGATTAGTCAGGTGAGGTACAACGACATCCATGGATCGTCAGCCTCGCAGGTGGCGGTGAACTTCGATTGCAGCGCGAGCAACCCGTGCACGGGAATCGGGTTGCAAGACATCAAGCTCACGTATGGAAACAGGCCGGCAGAGTCGTCGTGCAAGCACGCCGATGGCACTACCTCGGGCTTCGTCGTGCCGCCGAGCTGCATATGACGATGAACTTGAGCTGATCTACTTACCTACATATATATGTACCAGGAAAGTGAGGTTGAAGACTGCAAGCGGACTCACGTAGTACTGATGTCTGCTTCCGATGACACGTTCGAGTAGATCCATGTGTTGAACAGAAACTTCAGATCTAATCGTAGTAAATGGAAATTAATGGTGTGCTATCATCATTGCAGTCAACCTAATGGTGTGATTTCTATGCAACATGACTCGATAAGCACGGCATGTTTACTTCATATACATGAATCGTGGGAGTCAACGAGTGATGTGGGAAAAAGGTCAGCGCTGTGAGATGGGAATGACGACATCAGATCTTTGTGCGTGTATTAAAATGTTTTCTTTGTTTGATCATCATTCAAACGTACACATGTTTCGTACCTGCCTTACGATCGGAGCAATGACCGAGGTGGCTCCCATGCTTCTTGCAATCAAAAGGCAGGTACGTGCATGTGTAAGCTATATGTGGGTGCCGATTCAGTGCACTACTTTTTAGCATAATTATATATATGTATGTCTCAAAATTCGTAATTTAGGTATTTATCGCTCTAAATTCGAGTATATAAATCTCCACATTTAAGTAAATGCCATCATAGTTAATTTTGACCATTAATATCATCATATTTAATTTCAAATGATATTAAAAATTATCAAAAATATTTTATATTCGTACGAATTAGTTTTTATAACTATCCTTTCTAAAATTATATTTCTATATATTTTTAAAATATTAGTAATTATGATATAAAGTTATTAGCTTTATCTTATCACGTGAAAGGTTTAAATATTTAAATGATATATACAGAAGTATATGATGGGAGATCTTTATGATTGGATGAGATTGTTGTCTAAAATGGAGTCGATCGAGTTTGATGATTGGATCTTTATGATTGGATGAGATCCTTACCAAATCATTTGATGTACACACAATGATCTGAAGTCATTCTTTTATATTTATTTTTTATCATAAATGAATCAAACTTTCTGTACCACTGTCTTAGAGCTTGCTTTAGCCCATACAAGCTCTTCTTTAATTTGTAGATAAAGTTCTATTTACTTTTGACTTTGAAGCCTTCTGGTTGCTCCATATAAATTTTCTCATCCAAATCCCCATGGAGAAAAGCCAAATCTACACTATCATGATTTTTATTGATGTATCAAAAGATGAATTGCACAATCAAAATACTACGAACTAGTAAAGACGGATAGAACATAGGAAAACCAAGAGAATTAGTGTAGTGTATTTATCGTTATCAATATAATATCGGATTTAAAGAAAGAAACATATTATTTGTAGACTTGAAGTGATAAACATGAAATATCATTTTATTTTTGGATAGTTTTTTGGGTATTTTTTTGGCTTATATTCCTTTTTTTTGTCCCTAATTCTTTCTTTTATTGGCCTATTGTCACATACCTATTTCTGCCAACGGATCCCACAGTCTTTGTGCTTCACTACTACACGGCACCGCAACTTCCCATACATTAATATCCGGTGGAGCAAAACCGCGTACCGAAATGACCGAAACACCCTCCCGAGCTGACCCCTGTCCGTAGCAACCTCGCCGCGTTGGTCGTCGTATCGCGATAAATTCGTCAACTCCATATCCAACGGTCAATATTACAACTTCGCAGCGTCGAAACTACTTTTGAACCGTTCGATCCGGCGCTTCAGGCTTCGGATCGCCCCGATGTTTTAGAGGGGCAAGCGGACGCCACGCCAAATTCCAACCCCCTCTTCGGGTGACTCTCTTTTTCCTGCCTTCCCATTCCTCAGCTTCGTTTGTGCTCGATTCCAACCCTCTCAGGCGTCGAGTGGGTGCGGATCTCTCGTCCACCTTCTTCGCCCGCTCAAAATCCCACCTTTTTGAGGGCTTGTTCCTGTAGTTGGTTCGGGATTGGGGCTCTACAGCTCGGAGTTGCGGTGTGTTTTCTGGAGGATGCTGCTCCCCTGAGGATTTCGTTGCTGGAGCTGGAGATCGAGTGATTGGATGAGGGTTCGAGTGCTTGGTGGTGGTTTGGTGAGCTGGGTTTTGGAAATTTCGGATCTCGAGGCTCGTTTCAGTGGGGAATTTGTTGCTTAGGGTTTGGGGAGTGTTTTGTGTTTGATGGGGTTCTAGGATCTTCGTGGCAGCTGAGAAATACTGGAAAATGTTCTATTCTCAGTTTATTTTGGCCAAGAAGGGGCCGCTTGGAACTATATGGATCGCGGCGCATTTGGAGCGGAAGCTGCGGAAGAATCAGGTGGCGGATACTGATATTGGCGTCTCTGTAGGTCGGTATCTCGTAATTCATCACCTACTCAAACATTTTCTCGTTTTTCTTCGCTTCTATGATTTTTGGCGTTAGCTTCTTGTGGATGCGGTAGCAACCTTTTGGTTCATACTACTGGCTTTTTGCTTCTTCAATATGCTAAGTGTTCAACAAGTACATCTAGTTTAAATAACTTGTGCTAATGTGTTGAAGCATCAGTGTGATTGGACATCCCAATTGATGATTCTGTATCCTTGGTGGTTAATTTCTTTCTCATGGGTGTATGAGTAGTAGACGGGGAATCAAGTTACTTCTCAGTTATGGCTATAGTGGATTCATGTATTATTTCTGAATCATCTTCAGTATAGTTCTGTAAAAGAAGTTCTTTTGTGTTTTTTCCTCTGTGGAACTACTATTTAGTGAAATGTACGAGTAAATTCATGAACATCATGCTTAGAAAAGGCACATAGGTCCAGTGGTGTGTATGCTCTTCTACTTGAGACTATTAATTTTAGGTGCATAAGGAATATTTACCTCAGTCATATTGATACATCTTAGTCTTGAATATCTCTTTGGTTGACGACCACTATATTGCCTTATCTGCATGGTATGATGTGCATCTTCTATTTATCCAACCATGATGCATATAGAAACTATTGAGCATGAGATTTTAAAGCTGAATGAAACAGTTTCCAGTGAGGTTATATTTGAAGGTGGAGATAGCAATAAATATATGTTTGATCAGGAGCATATTATAAGCATTATTTTTCCCTTAATGGTTTATTGGTAGTTGTCTCTTATTTCTTAAAGATAGAAAGGGTTAAAAGTTGTTAGATTCATAAATCAATGCTTAAATCATTAATTGTTTATAATAAACTTACAATGCTTTGTTGGGGAGAGATAGGAGAATCGAAAAACCAAAGAATGCCCAAAGATTAACAAATAAGTAACATACAAGAAAGTTGATGCAAGATTTAACGTGATTCGACATCTCTCTGCTGAGGTCCACAGAGAAAACCAAATTCTTCACAACAACAATAACAACAAAGCTGTAAGTCTTAGCTATTTATGGTCGGTTATATTGATCTTTTGTCGCCATTGAGATATGTAAAAAGCCATATGATTAGTTAAGTTCAGAGTACTTAAATATTTATTTATAGTTTCATTAAAGTCTTTTTATATCTTTCTCTACCTCTCCTCGTACCACGAACATTAATTATTTTACTTCTTTTAACTATTGTATCCAGAGGTCTCCTTGGCATATGTCCATACCATCTTAAACCATTTTCTCTCATCTTATCTTTTATTAAAGTAATATTTATTTCACGAATAAAAATATTTTTTTATATCTTTTTTAGTAACTCCATACATCTATATCAACATTCTCATCTCGACAACATAAATTTTTTATATATGTTTTTTTTTAACGGCACAACACTTAGATCCATAAAGTATTGTTTGTCTCACAACTATCTTATAAATTTTTTCTTTTAATCTCAAAGGTATCCGATGATTACACAAGACTTAACATGTCCCTCGTCGTTTCAACCATCATGTTTTACTCTATGAATAATATCTTTATCGATCTCTCCATCTTGTTGAATAATTGATTTGAAATGCTTAAAGCTTTTACTTCAAGGGATTTCTTGTCCTTCCAACTTAACTATATTATCTTGTTTATTTCTAGAATCACTAAAATTATATTTTATATAATCAATTTTAGTGGTACTTAATATAGAACCTTTAGCTTACAAGGCTTGCCTCCATAGCTCAAGCTTATAATTAATTTCATTTAGGCTCTCATCAACTAGGACAATATCATCATCAAATAATATACACCATGGAGGTCTATCATGTAAGCGACTAATAAGTTCATCCAATATCAATGTGAAAAGGCAAGGACTTAATACAGATCCTTGGTGTAATCTTATACTAATAGGAAACTCACTACACATACTCCATATGGTTCTAACACTAGTAGCTATATTATCATATATATCTTTAATAACATTAATATAATTAGTGGATACACATTTCTTTTCTAAAATTCACCATAATAAATCTCTATGAATCCTATCATAGATTTTCTCTAAGTCAATAAAAACCTATATGCAAATCTTTCTTTTTCTCCCTATACTTTTTCATTAGTTGTCTTAATAAATAACTGGCTTCTATAGTTGATCTTCTAGGCATAAAACCAAATTGATTTTCGGATATATTTATTTCAAGTCTTAACCTACTTTTGATAACTCTTTCCCAAAATTTCATAATATGACTCATGATTTTGATTCCTCTATAATTTGAACAATTCTATATGTCAACCTTATTATACATTGGCACTAAAAACTATTTCTCCATTTATCAAGCATTCTTTCGAATCTCATGATTTTGTTAAATAATCTAATTAACCAAGTTATTCCTTTGTTCGGAAAACTTTTCTAGAACTCAATAGGGATACTATCAGGCCCTACACTCTTAGCTATTTTTATCATCTTTAATGTGCATCTTTTACTTCATTAGCTATAATTTTACGAATAAATTTATTATTATTAAATATATCATTATTATTTTATCATTAAATCTAAGTATTGTGTGGAATATTTGTTAAATAATTTATAAAATTAATTTTATTATCTTTTCTTAATCTTGTTATCATTAACAAGTATTCTTTGATCTTCGTCTTTAACGTATCTAATATTGCCTAAATCTTTATACTTTCTTTCCCTAGCTTTAGCAATTCGATATATATCTTTTTTACAATCTTTAGCACCTAATTTATTATAAATATTATCATAACCTTTATATCTTGCCATACTAATCATTTTTTAGCCTTTTTTAGATCTTTATATCTTTTAAATTTTTTCTCATTTTTACAATTTTTTCAATCTTTAAAACATGATCTTTTAGTAAAAATTAATTTTTTTAAACTTCCTTGCACTACCACCAACTCTCTCTTAAGGTTATACATCTATCTTTAGTTTTACCAAGAATTTTCTTTGTTAAGCTTTTAATTTTATTAGCCATCATAGTCCAAATAATATCATTATTATCCTCATTTAAGTTTCACATCGTCTCCCTTATCATCTTATTCTTAAAAGTGCTTATATTATCATCTTTAAAATTACATCATATAGTCTTAGTAATTTTTGTAATATCTTTTTCTTCTTCCATTTTTAACAGTAAATATCTAATACCATCAACCTATGTTGGTTCGTCAAACTTTCACTAGGTATAACTTTACAATTCTTACAAATAACTTTATTTATCTTTCTAGTGAGAAAAAAGTCTACTTAACTATAGTTGTGACCACTCTTATAAGTAATTAAATGTTCATCTCTCTTCTTAAAGTGAGTATTTACAATTATAAGATCATACGAGGTTGTACAATTCGAAACTATACCACCATCATCATTTCTCTCCCCATAACCAAAGCCCTCATGCACCCAAAAACTAAATTCTTCAATATATGAGACAAATCAATACGATGAATCACTCTCCTTTGACTTAACCCAAACCCAAGCCTTAAATCCCCTGTACACCCTCTCACATAAACCTGAAGATCTCTTCTTTCAAACCCTCTCTATATTCACTAGAGAGAAACTCTCAAAGCACCAAAGTTTTCTTGCCTCTCTCTCTCACCAAAACCTTGAAATTCAAGGTGTATTTATAAGAACATATCTTAATTCTTCAAGGACTCTTCCTACGTGAATCTCTAATCTAAATTCTAATCCGTCAAGGAATTTGAATTTAATTAGAACTTGTCCCGAGTAGTTGAAACCCAATTATGACTCTTAAAATATGTACCAACCCTAACATGCTTAAGTCATTAATTGTTTATAATGAATTTACTGGAACAATGACTTTTGTCAAAATTTTAGTAATTCGACACATAAAGACAAGTAAAGTTGTGGTATAAGGTTGGACTTCAATATTTACCAGAAACCAACAGGTAACACTAACTTGCTATCTCTAGTCTTAATTTTATTGAGTCAAGTTTAAAAGTTGCAATGGCTTTGTAAGATTGATAATTGGTCCTATAAATAGTTCTTATTTCATATATTTAATTAGAATGTATGGATGCACCATATAGTTTTAATTAGCCTAACAATGACGACAAGATATATCTTAAGCTAATTGATGGCTTTATAAACTCATTTATATGAAGAATGTTGACCAAGTATTAGATTGAGTATTTATGTAAAAAAGTACAGGAATTACCTCTAAAGTTGTTGAAAATCAACATAACGATAGTTAATTTGAAGATCTTTGTGGAGACGTTTGATTACCTGTCTTAGGAAAGCACATACAACCAAGAGAAGTATGTTGCTCAACCATGATACCGATTAGTTGTGTAGAAATACAGACTTACACCTCTTTGGTATTAAACATGAAAATAAGATCCTGATGCCGGCATCCAAATCAGCCTCTGGAGGAATATGTGTTTCTAGCATGTGTTATGGTATGAATATCAAAGAATTCAATTTCAGTTACAATATCCTTGCTGGTTCATGGCCGGACCACTATAGGTCCGATCTGTGCTAGTGCATTGTGTATCGGTAAATTAAAACATACCATGATATTGTCAGGGGAGGGACAAGGAAGAAGAGGAGGGATAGCTGTATCGGAGTGAGCGTGTGTAGTGATGAGCATGCGGGCAGTGGGTAGGCAGCAGGATTGCGTGTGGGCAGATGGCATGTGGGTGGTGACAAGAAGACTCGCAACTCCTTGCAAGGAGTCATGTCAGGAGCCCTAGTGCAGGGTAAAGAAAAGAAATATATTATATATAGAGAGAAAACTTAGCTGCTGGCACGTGGCAGATTGCTCGATTTTACGCAGATGCCTAAACTCATAAGGACTGCGTTTTGATATTGCACTATGCCCTTTCTGCAACCTTATTGCCCACCTTGCACATCTTTCTGTTTCTGCTTGCACAACCTCATCTGCTATCCTTTTTCTCTCTGATCAACAATAAGGGGGCTGTAGCTGACAAAATGAGAAGTTAGAAGACAGGAAGTTGATTCTATTGGGTATCAGGTCCATCTTGCAACAAACTTTAATTGTATATCTAGACAAGATAAATGACAGAAGTAAAGCATCTACTACTTCTGGACACCCATTCTCCCGATTTGACTTTGAAAAGTATCAGAGAAGTTTCTACTCCAGAAGTCATGACACTCATGGGAATTTCTTCAGATCACTTCCTCTAGCAATAAAATCCAAAGAGGGAAACTGTCTCATTAGATGCCTTTAGTTACTCTACCAACTGTATAAGATAAATGGTCAGCATGGATGGTGAATAGGAACTGAATAAATAAGTTCCCATTATAAATCAGTCCATTAAGAGATCTAACTTATTTCATCTTGAATAACAACTTGTCTATATGTTTTATTTTTAAATCAGAATTAAAAAGTAAATATGTGATACTCTTAGTTGGAATTTTGGAGTAAACTTTGTCAGAAAATCGACCGTAGGTTAAATTGCAGTGTCTTCTGTACAGTAGGGGTGGGCAAAATATCATTTGATGTGCAATTGCCATTTTGTCTACCAATACAGTAAAGGTTAGCATGGTAGGACATGGTCCTTATGCTGACCGTTAAAGACCAATTACATTGCTGTGGTTGTGTTGCCACCCCGTTGGTGTTGCATGAAATCCTGCATTGGTACATAAAACAAGGCATATTGATTAGTATATTTCAGTAAGGCCAGTATGACAATTCTTTGTACAAATTTCTGGATGTTTTCTTTTATTTTTTTTCTGTTCTTTTTGCACTCTGAACTTTTAGCTTTGTTTGTATTTGATGCAAATTCAATTCTTTACGTATAGTTATCTGAGATGGATCAGGTTAAGGGATTGAAAGTCTGATTTACTCCTAGAAGTCGCACATGGAAATGCCTTGAGGAGCACAAATATCATCGCGAAGTTTTTTCTTTTAATCTTCTCAACTATCTGATGATTTTAAGAAACTGATTTTGAGCAGCGTTAACAACTTACATTTACTTTGGCTATGTATTTTATTGTGTTATCCTTCTTTAATTAGAGAACTGATACATAAAAAATTTTATGCTTGCTTTACTGTTTTTAAGAAACTGATTTTGAGCAGCCTTAACAACTTACACTTACTTTGGTTATGTCGACTACAATAAACTGATATCCTTTTTGTCTTTCCAATCTTGTTCTTAAAAATCCTTAATGCAGATTCAATACTTTTCCCTGAAGCTCCAATAGCACTTCGGTTATCAAGTCATCTGCTCCTAGGTGTTGTGAGAATATACTCTCGGAAGGTGAACTATCTCTTCCATGACTGCAGTGAGGCTTTGCTTAAGATAAAACAGGCTTTCAGATCGACTGCGGTGGATCTTCCTCCTGAAGAATCTACTGCACCTTATCATTCCATCACTTTGCCAGAGACTTTTCACCTTGATGATTTTGAACTGCCTGATAGTGCAGGGTCGGTATTGGCTTCCTGTATTCTTGTTGCATTTATCTTTCAACACCAAAATAGTGCCTATTATTGCATAATTATTTTCCTGTGCATTCTTCTATCCCCACTTTATCCTAGTCGTGGTGTTAATGTAAGTTTTACTTTGATGATTTGGCAGTGATTTTGTTGATCATCATGTCAGTACAAAAGAGCAGATCACACTTCAAGATACTATGGATGGCACGGGATATTCGACATTGCAATTTGGATTGGATGGTTTGCATCTGAATCATCTCAATAGATTGGGTTGTACAATTTGACTTCATATTTCCTGTTAAACTAAATGAAGTTCTATTGTTTTTTCTTCGAACAGAAAGATTTGGTGATGGTAATGCTTCCCAGATTCGTTTAGACCTTGATGAGGTAAATTTCATGTTTTGAATGTCTGTCTCTGCTTGCACAAACACCCATCCATCTTGGTTATACTGTGATGAAAAAAAGTAGATCTTTCCCCTGTAGCTGCCAGTTAGGTAGTGCCATTACTCTCATATAAAGTAAAACATGATTCCATATGGTTTTAGAGCTAGATGTTATAATAGAAAGAGGACCCTAGTGGAGTGAATACAAATAATTTCTGTAAATTGTAAAGATTTAATGGTTATTAGTACATGTAAACACTTACAAGCAAAATCTATGTAAACATCTATTGACAACTCAAATTTTCATATATTCTATGGTTCAAATCTGGCATAGAGGTTGCAGGCTTCTCGAGTGCATCATGTGATGTGATGATTAATAGGTCAAAAGAACTACGAAAATTGGCTTTCTCACTGCTTGGTATACAAACAAGAAATTTCTCTCATCTTGTCATCTATATAATAGCTGGTAATAGCTGGGGTTGAGATCTGAACCATATTCTTTGTTCTTTTATAGTAGTGCTTACAATGGCTGGGTTTGATTGGTCGAGGTCAAGTAGTAAGACTACCTACGGTCAACCTTGAGGGAAGTGCCACCATGTCAAACTTCACTAATGGAGAATTGTCCTATACAATGAACTGGTCAGATTGGTCAGCCCTGGTGGAATTTGCTGGTTGAGGTGGATTCTCTTATTCTGGAGAATAAGCCGATTAGCTTGTGTAGTTCAGAAAATTTGTTTTAATTTAAATATGATTGACCTACTAATAGTTCTAGATTGACAAGCACTTATACCAATGGTTGATATGTTGACTTGTGTCCAACTTAAATTGGTTAGAAACGTGCTGAGTTGGTTTGTCTTGATCGGTTGGTTACAACCTAATAAAGCAATGGGGATAGACATAGTCATGACATGGATCAACATGATGCAATATAAAAGATACAATAGGGTAAGTCTGAATACATTTACCTTCCCGAACCTCCACATGACCAATCACCTTGAGCACTGACCAGCCTTTTTCTTGCCATTGTTTACATGTGAAGTTATGGCCAATTTGAATATTTATAATTATGACTTGTAAATTAGGATAAGCATAATGGCTGTTCTCATAAATAAAAATCAACCATAGTTATTTTAAATGCATATGTAAAACTCTAAGGAAATTACTTACATTGGAATAAGAGTTCAAGCCAAATACAGAATATATAAAAACTAAAAGGTGTATATGATATGCCATGTCCTATATGTTTTGAGACATCTGAACAAATTGTGACACAGGACAGATGTGGCTAATTCTTGAAGTGCTTTATGCTTCATAATCATAGTTTGGAATTATTTCCTCTAAATTATAGAGTTATTGTGTATTTATATACTTTTCATGCAAAATCAGGTCTGTAGCTTCCATGGTTCACCTTATGCCAGTTGGATGCCTTGTGGAAAATATGTTGTTTCCAACATATTACCTTGTTAATATCAAGGTGCTTGCATTTCTAGTGTTTAGTATTTGGAATATGGATAAATAAGATGGTCCTTACTCTTTTTATGCTTCAATCTAATCACTCTTGTTCGATATGTTTCTTCGATATTAACTTGGAAGTAGAAGATTGTTGTACGTTGCCAAGTTCATTTAAAGGATTTCAATAGGCTCTTGCCTGTGTTTGTGTTTTGTCAACTACAGCATTTGAAATTCCTAGGCACAAGAAATTATGTAATTTGAGGACCTTCTGCATTTTAATTAGTCTATCACAAAACGGACTGCAGAAAAAGCACTTGGATAATGAAACTTTTATGGGTTTGATGTGCTTTTTGGTGCATGCATACAAAAGTTCAACAAATTGATGCTTTTGTATGATCAATCATATCAAAATATGTTTTCAGTGTGTCAAAACTTCTTTTGTTCTCATTTAAAGTTGCACAAATTAGAAGCACAAAAAACATATGAATCATATTCTTGCTATCTTTAAAAAAAAAAAAGGAAGAAATTTCTATTATATTAAACAGCGTACAAGATGTTCAATTATATTCTTGCTATCTTTTTGCTGGCAGGACTTGTTCTTGGAGGATAGTCATCCTTCTTCTCAGCTTGCTTCAAGTAATGTTGCACCTGGTGAATGGTAAATTCTACTGCTGAAGCCTTTAGTACTTAACTAATTAATCTATTTTTTTTAGTTTCATCTTCCATCTTGCTCTTTTTTTATGAATCATCCAGTTTACACATTTTTGCCTTCTTTAGTTCCATGAGAGTGTTATCATAATATTGGTTGGCAACTTGGCATCTGTTTGTTCTGTCCTATCCTACTGATGCTACTATATATTGATTCATCTGTCAAATTTGAAGCCTTTATAGGTGCATTTAGATCTTCTGGTTGATTGTAAGATAATAGATTATATTATTGAGATATACATTTGTTAATTAGCTAAAGTTATAACATATACTCTTTTTGAATAATTTGTTCAAAATGGTATTTTCTTTTCGTCTTCATGTTGTTTTCATGTGTTCAGACTTCAGATTTTCCTTTAATGGTTTACTGGAAGTTCATGTATACAGTACTTTTTACTTGAGATGTTTTACTTTTACTTAGATACTGGTCTAGTGGAAATGTGACTGCTATTGAATTTTGCTTAATGTTTAAGGTTGATATTCTTCATGTGGCTTGACCTTGAAAATGTTTAATCATGTTTTTCATTATTGTATATATGTCTTGCTTCAGTGCTGTGCACCAGGGTCAATCTTCATCCTCTATTCCTCTAACTCAGATGGATATTGACCATGACCAAAATGGTTTAGTTGAAGATATTGATACTGAAGCAACAAAAGAACTTTCTAATTCGCATGAGAGGCATACTCATCCAAGTATACTATGTATGAAAAAGAATGACATATACAACATTCAGACTCCTGATCTCAATGAAGTCTTTTCTCCAAACGATCATGTTGAAGGGCCTTCTGCAGCACCAAGTCAAAGTTTTGTTGGATCAATTGCTGATGGTGTCCCGACACCAGATCTGGCTGAATGTCCTCATGCTCCTCCAACTCCTGGTTTGATGGAAGAGATGTTCTTGGGTAACATGCATGAAGGTCCTGCTTTGAGTCCCCAGACGAAACCTTCATCATCTTTTGATGAAGTCCTCAAGCATGGAAATTCTAACTTGCAGAATGGACATCCAGATTCAGTGACTGACAGTGGTGTCATGCCTGAGGTGACTGTGGCCCCTGATTCAGCAAATATTGTACAAGTAGTAGTTTCCCCTACTTCAGAACTAGTTGAACATAAAGAACAGGTAACTGCAACTGTTGAAACTGAAATGGAATGTCAACAGAAGAATTCCAGTGATTTGCAGAATGGATATGTTTGTAGCGAAACAAAAGACGTAACAGTTGATGAACAAATACAAGATAATGGAGAGGCCATGCCTCCTGAAGTAGCTCAGATTGAAAGTTTAGTATCTTCCAATGCCTCATATGAAGAATCAAATTCAAAAGCTCATGTGGACAGATCTCAAGTTGATACTGAAGTAGCCATTAGCAATTCATGTGGGGTTGAAGGTCAGCCATCAGGTTGTTGCAGTACAGAACATGTAGAAGATGTGAACCCTTCCCTCAATGGAGATGCTTCTGCACTTAGTTCAGATTTTCATTTGAGATCCTTTACCTCAGAAATCAATCAAGTCAAAATACTCTCTGCACAAGATAAGACTTCAGCACAAAACATTTGTGGAGTTTCAATTGAAGAACCAAGTGTTCCTTCGCAAACACCAGGGCAAGAGAATAAGCTGCATGATAGTGAATCTTCATTTGAGTTGCAAGGTCTGTTGTTAGATGTTGACTTCTTTCTTACCTGCTATATTCTGATTTTGTAAAGAATGGATGTCTAAGCTGTTTCTTTTTATTTTTCAGGCAAAGATTCTAATGGTGCTAATACTACAGATGCTGATCTGGAGGTAAGGGAAAACCCCCAAGATGTACTGACAGGATCTGCTGTAGACGTTAGCAACACAGATGAGTTATTGGCTGATCTATCTCAAAAAGACACCCAAAAGAATCAGTTGAACTGTTCTTTGAGTTCTGAATTCCCTGAACCTGAAAAGATGCTCTTAGCTTCTACTGGAGATGTTGACCATGCAAATGAGTTAAGCCAGGTAACTGAAGAAAAGGGAGTCATAGAGTCTGATGGTAGTGTTAACAGGATCACAAGTCTCTCTGGGAAAAAGCGCCGTCCGATGGAGACTATATCAGCTTTGCAAAATGGTAGCTCAGGGAAAATATATGGAAGGTCACGATTGAGAAAAAACACTGAATATGTTCCTGATGATGATGATTTGTTGGCATCTATATTAGGTACAACAATGATTTTTTGTTTTGCCTGGATTATGTTTTCGTTTTATGTTTATGTACATACAAAAGATCAAACATGGTGCTAAAATTCCATCTGAATTACTACATATCCTCATTATTGAAAGTCTTAAGCAATATTATGTTTATGTCAGTTGGGAAAAAGACTCCACTTTTGAGGATAGGGTCTACACCTCCCCATAAGGCAACTTCTCCAAAACGTCCTCGATTGGCACCAAGATTGTGCATACCAAAGAGGAAGGTGCTGTTGGATGATACTACAGTCTTGCATGCTGAGTATGTTATCTTGCTTTATGTTTCTTTGTCTATATTATCCTTTTCTGTGTTGCTTTAACCATACTAAAGGTACTTTTTACAGAATGTTTTGTGGAAGATTGATGTATGTTCATATATGAAAATCTCAAAAAACTGAAACATCATAAAGTTGTTATTAGAGTTTTGGTAATACATGTTCTGGTTTTTGCTGGCTTGTCATGAAATGCATATCTTATTCTTTTCCCATTACTTTGTAGGTACTAGTTGAAAATGTGCCTCCAAAAGGACACTGGGGAAAGAGTTGAAAGATGACCTTAGTTACTATGAAGTTTTTAGTAAACAAATGCCTTGGATTTTACTGTGTTGTCATGAGTTGATGTCTGACATTTTCCATTGTGGATTTTTTTAAAAAATGCACTTCCCAGCTAAGAGATGGGAGTTACAGGAGAATGTGAAAGGAGATAAGTGAGAAGGTTATGCTAATAATATTGACACAGCTAAAGTAATATTTAGAAACCATTTGAGAGCCATACTTGACTAGATTTTTTATTGAAAGCTTTGTCTACATTAGATTTCTGACTCACCTTTTAAAATCAAGGTCTCAAGTACTATCTTCAATCTGTAACCGTACTTTCAATGAAGAATTGGATAGATACATGGGGTACTAAATTGTAGGTGATCACCTTATTATCTATAAAAATTGGATTGATCCTGAAGTTGGTACAAAAGGTTGGAGTAGTATGCAACATGTGGTACGAATTAAGAACATTTCAATGAAGAATGCATAACTATAAAAAATTTCCAAATCAGAAAAAATAGAGAATTTTTTTCAGCTGTATTGATTTCAACTTAGCCAATAAATAGTTTTGGTGCAATTGAAAGAATCTATTCTTTCTTCCTTATGCAGTGCAATAAGGCAGCAGCTAATGAATACTGAAGACATACGACGCATGCGCAAGAAGGCACCATGTACACGTCCTGAAATTTGGATGATTCAGAAAAGTTCACTAGAAGATGAAATTTTCAATGAACCTATGATGACTGGTAAAGACTTTCTGCAGCTTTTATTAAGATCTTAATTATCTTAACCACTTCATTTTCCTGTGGTTGATGTTTGATGTTGATTTAAACATTGCTGAAAGGTGTGAAGGTCTATTGTTGCTAACTGGAAGCATCTTCTTTTAGTTGTGATGTAGACCTATATTCAAATTTGGTTATTACTATCTTTCCAGTGTTTTTGTGAAAAATTGAAACCTAAACTGAATAATATAATTGAAACTAACCTGCATTCTGAGTAAACAAATCAATCAAAGATCAGTATAAGTGGAATATGATGTTTTCCTGCATTGCATCAGCTGTTTGAGATGCCAGTTTTCTGGATAATTCTAATTGCATTGTCTGGTTTCATCTGTTATGAAGATTTAAACTACAATTTTAGGTCTTGAAATGCTACGTTACACTCTATAGCGTGTGGTTGATCCACACAACGGTCTTAAATTATGTTAGTCTGATTTTTGGTTCACATTACAATTTGAGATTCTAACTAAAACCTATGGGATAATTCATCATGGAAATATAATGTTTATTTTGTAAAATGCAGGGCAACTACTGCCAAGTGTGCCTTTTCTGTTATACACATGATAGAACCAGAAGATGCAACTTTAAGATGACAAGAAATGTTTTTTAGTGGTTCCTACCTGATATCACAACCTTTGAACTTTTTCATACCTTTCTATATCCATCCACTACCAATCCTTTTTGTTATGTAGCTGATGGAGTGATGGAGAACATGAGAAGCTTGCTCATCGTATATGTGATTTCAGTCGGACATCTATATTTTCATTTTTTTCCCCATTGTATTGTACTTGCGTCCCCTCTTTTTCATGCCATATGTGAATTTTTTTATGCTTTTTGATGAGAGACCTATGAGCATCTCTATATATCTTCTCTCTTGGGGTTGGCCTCATCATGATTTAGGAATAATAGTTGTGACACATTCTTTTACATGAAATTTAAACTATAATAACTTTAAATTTTATTGTTAATTAGAGTTGGCATATAAGTTGCTAGTTTAGTTTAGACATGGGAGTGTTGATTGCCAATGTGACACCAAGAGAATAGTTGAATTGTATAAAATACCAATAGAGCATGTCAAGAAGGTGAGGCCTGGGATTACATGGGTAGAAAGGTCTTGTACATATTATTCTGGGCCATTGTAGAAATTGAAATAGGTGAAAATTAAGCTCAAACACTGAAATGGTTGGTACAGTCACAAGCATCACAGAGATACATATTTAAGGAGCTTTGACCAAAAAGGGCGAGTGAGACATTGTTGAATTCTACTTGGTTGCTACTCAATATAAACCTGGTTTATTAATGTAAAACCTGCTTGGGTTTGGGTAGTTTTAGACTTCAGGCACCATGTGCATACTGGGAATGCCAAAGAATATATATTTAATTTAACATAAAGCTACTGGGTTCTAACTTTAAGTGTTCGGCTCTTGTCTTGAGTTCCATTTTATTCTGACTGTTCTGCATATTACCAGAACCTTTACTATTTCAGTGTTCCTCTCAATATGTGGTACTAGTAAAACATCAATTCCTTGTTGAAGATGATAATATGATCTGTAATACTTCTTTAATGACTTCTGGCATCCTCAAACCAGTGTTTATGTAATCTGCTTGTGTTTCTACTTTCAGGTATATCATCCATAATGAACGACTTACACACCCGAAGATATGATCCTGAAACTACCCGAAATTATTCCTGTGGTAAGCAACTAAAGCATTTGATCTCTGAAAACTTGAAATTTGTTAGGAAAACTAATAACATGGTAATGGCTGAGCTAAGCTATACTCAATCATGCCAGAAAATATTGATGGTCAAATGCAAGGACCATCTCATGTTTCTTTAACAGCTGAGGTGCAGAGCAGCACGAGCAAGAACGGATGTGATGATCAAAAGCATTCTGTACCTTTCCTGCCTCTGCTGGAGCACTCAGGTAATGATGGATCATGTATGATGTTGCCGACAGAAATCAATAATGGTAAAGATGCTGGAGTTGGTACTCCCATGCCTTCAGCTGCACCTTCTAGTGAATATGAGGTAATGCCCATTGATTCTACAGCTGGTGAGATTTCTTTTAATATTACCAGCTGCTTTATTCTCTGGAAGAATGACAATACACACATATCCTTTGCAGCAGCCTAGAGATGGTTCTTCTGTGATGAATGATGAGGCAAAACATTTCACTGAAAATGATTGTACAATAGATTTAGCTTCTGCTGGTGGTGATTCCAAGGACAGGATGGTTGATAACAATGCACTTGCAATTGCGGATGATGATCATATAATGCATATTGAAGAAGCTCATGCCTCCAATGATGCATCCACTGTGGACAGAGGAATGGGGCCGCCAGATGCTATAACCTCAAGTGACCCGCAAGATATGTGTGCTGTTGCGGAGGCTAATGGTGAGGCATTGATCTCTGAGCTCGATAATGTTAACCGTGAATCGGAGGGACATTTGGTAACTGATCCGGTTCCTGGAACTGATGATCGTATTATAGAAGGAGAAATAGTGGGTGCAAAGGTGGAGAATGAAGAGAAATTGATGCATGAGGGAAACCTTATCAGTGATGTTATATGTTCTGAAAGGCTTGAAACGGTTTCTTCATCTCCGAGTCAGATAAATAATGAGAGTGGAAATGTTCCATCAGCCTTAAGAGAAAACTCTAGCTTTCAGGAATTTATCCCAGATGGTGGTATAATTGTTGAAAGCACTCCCATGGATTTGGTTACTGGAAAAGAGTGTAGCGTAAGATCCTGTCTCATTTACTAGTTTTATACTGATGCAATAGTTATCTGTGATTGTAAACTTTTTTTTTTTTTACGATTTAGTGACAACAAAATGTGCCATCAATAGTGCTCCCAAATCTTCTGTTTATTTTTTTTCTGTTAATTGATTTTCTACTTTTGTCCAGGACTTTTGCAGCACAATTGATGGTAATGATACAGGTAGTTTTCTATTTAATTTCTGTTAGTGCAACATCTATCAGTTTTGGATATTGTGATTTTGAATATTATATCAGATAATGTTAAATCCTCTGCACCATTTATGAGAGCTACACTTGATAAATGCAGAATCAGTCCTTTTTGTTTTCCTTAACCATAATCACAGATAACCAAGTCTTGCAGTTATTTTGGATTTTCCCTTAAAACTGATTGCCTTATTTCGTTGATCTATATTCTTTAAAGTCTCCTGCTTGGATCGAGATGTGATCCAATGTAGTTTTAGAATTTTGTTCTGATTAGAGGATGATACTGAAGCCTACTGACTTTGGTATGCAAGCATCCTATTGCATGCAACCTGCAAGTGGTCCTACAGCCTTTTCGCTGATCTATGATCATGACTTTATGTCTATTCCCCTTAGTAACATCCCATGATATCATGAAATATTGTATGCTTCAGGTTTAAGGATCCATAAATTTATTGAGTTTTGTAGTGGCTGATATAGAGATATGTCTTTTTCATTTTTTGGAAGTTACAGACTTGTAGCAGTAGCAATCAGCCTTTCTGACCTCAAATTGGTGTCTGTATGACCAGTGAGAGGTATCTGAGGTTTCGTCTATAGAAGTCTGACGACACTTCAATGATACACATCCTTGGCTTGAGAGGAAGTGAATTGTGTAGGAGATTACCTACCATATATACTGCATTATAAACAAGTATTTCCAGCAATATGAGGGCTACAGTGACTTTCGAGTCATCTGAAACATAGGCATGAACTTTGAAAATTGCATTTTTCTTATATAATTTATGTTGTGTGAGTTTTATGGTCTACAAAGAGCTGGATTGACATCTTTTATGCAGTGTACTGATTCACTATTCAAATTTGTGCACATATTTCTAAGAAGATAGTTAATTGTGCCCAAGCTGACTACAGTGGAGATTATTCATAAATTTATCTGCATCTATCTAACCTTATTTTATCTACCTTTGTATTAGAGTTTCTTAATGTAGATGATGAAATCGATTACCATGAAGGAGATGACTATGTGCCCAATGCTGAAGGTGGATCACTCGAAAACAGTGGTTGGTCTTCAAGGACAAGGTAAATCTTTGGTCAACATTTTTTTTGTGTTTAGTTACATTGGCAGTGATTTTCTAAAGGGAGAAAATTATTGGTGTGGATGTTACAGAGGTGTAGCACGGTACCTGAAAATTTTGTTTGATGAAGAATTTGGGCGTGGGAGAAAATCTGTTGCTATGGACCAGCTTATAGCAGGCAAAACTCGCAAAGAAGCATCAAGAATGTTCTTTGAAACCTTGGTATGCTAATCCCCTCTCCTCGTCTTTCTGACATTTTGAATGCAAATTGGCCTATTATGTTTGAATGATTTTTTGCCAAAGCAAATGGTTAGAAGTGCGAATGCTTATGTGTTTAGTATCTGTCATCATGAAGCAAGCCTTACCACTTTAATGGTTACTCGGGTTAAATTAGCATAGGATTACAGACTTTAAGACATCATTGTCTCTTAATTATGGATGATTAATCAGAGAAATAATGAGAAAGGCTGAAACATCACGAAACATTAGGGCTGCTCTGGCAATGAAACATACAAACTAGTTACAATAACAATGCAACTATGAGCTTCCAGTTAATCATGCCAAGATTCATGGAATGAGACCATCCTTCTAATAAGTTAAGTATTCTCTCTCTTCATGTGTCTCTCTTTTCTTTGATGTGAATGTCCATCTTTCCAGGTCCTGAAATCAAAGGATTTTATTCAAGTTGAACAAGAGAGGCCTTCTGATTACATCACCATTAGACCTAGATCAAAGCTTCTGAAGGCAGAGTTCTAATAACGGATGAGGGGTTGCATGTCATTTGAATGTACTTTGAGCTTTATGCTTCTTCCAGATGCTTACTCCACCCTTATTTGTTGTCAAGTTACCTCATTTATAAAATAATGTTTTTGTTATTTCCCTCTTTTCTCTTTTATGATCTCTTAGATGGGGTGGAGTTTGTTGCTGTATCAGTACACTAAATATATCTTTGTATTTATATGTGTAAATTAAATCATCTCATGTTGGTATTTGGGTGTATAGCATTTGCAGCCAGAAAAGGTTACTAGTATTGTTGATAGACCATCTACTTATAACACATACAAAGTACTACAAGAAAGTTTGAGATTTGAAGCATTGGCTCATCCCACATGTAAAAGCACAGATTGGATCCAATTGATGGTTAGGTCAACTTGGATTAGATTTTGTCAAGTTGCAGTTTGGAAACTTTTAAATGGTAATTAAAAATATTAAGCCATAATTGTTCGTGTAATAGTAAGTCAGGGCTATGAGTAGTATCTTTGTTGTTTGTTTTGGTGCATTGTGTTTATTTTATTTTATTTGGAATGAGTGTAAGCCTAAAGATTATGTTATTATTATATGAAAAATTTTAATATCAAAATTTGAAATTAAATAATAAAATATTTAAATTTATGATGTGTATTTTTTAATATCATTTAAAAAGTTTTTATCTAATCTACTGGTGTATTATCGTCGGATTAGAAAGTTATAGTGATATCGATATGTAAATTTTTTTTTTTATTTATCCTTCACAAGATCGTTATGAGCAATATATTTAGAGATGAAAGGGAGAGAAGATTTGTAATATCTCATTAACTTATTCATGTGATTAAAAGGAGATATAGGAAGATTTATAATTTTTCAATCATCACGTATTCATTTATCCTTATTTATTCATGCATTTACGAATCCAAATATTTGTGTTGTTTTTAGAAGGTCTTATTTTTTTTTTATAGACGAGAGCAGAGGATTTAGGATAAGTAATTATGAGAATCCCTTCTATTAAGATCGTCTTTTCAGAAATTTTATCATAATTATTTTTTTTATTATTCGATAACTATAATCATAATCCAATCATATTCATAATATATCTTATATAATTAGATAGGATCATATAATCTAATATTTTCTAATTAATCATTAATTGGTAAGATACAAAGGGTTTAAAATCAAAAATAAATAAAATAATATTTATTATAAAAAATAATTTTATCTAATTAGATTTTAAATTTTAAAAATCATTTATACGCATGTGAATTTAATAAAAAAAATTAATTAGTATAATAAATATAATAATATTTCATTAAGTTTGATTAGTAATGTATGTTATAATAGTTGTATATCATCAAGGTCATACTTCCTTCTATGTACTACAACACTATTAGTCCTTAATATAGTTCAAAATGACTCTTGTAATTTGTCTTGTCAAGACAATTCTGTTATCACATTCAACCATAATATATATAATAATTTTAAGTACATAAATAAGAATATCAGTTATAATATTCATTCAATCATACATCACAATAGGTTACTCACAAATCCAATCATAAGAACATATTCTTTCATGAATGGATCTACAATCAATATAGTCCATATTTTATATGGGTTACTCACAAATCCAATCATAAGAACATATTCTATTATGAATGGATCTACAATCAATATAGTCCATATCTTATATGGGTTACTCACAAATCCAATCATAAAAACATATTCTTTCATGGATCTGCAATCAATATAGTGAAACTCAAGTTTTTAATTGACATTAATTACCTCTAGACTCTTTTTCTCCAATTATTAAATACCTTATATAATAATGCATAAAGCTATAATAGTATTTGTCATTCATAAATAAGAAAGCTACTACGATATATCACAAAGTATTTTCAGATATTTAATAATTGAGTTTGACTACCTCAAGTCTTCGAATAAAATTTTATAGTTATAAGGCTTGATTAGTGACCTCAGTCACAAAATCAGTTTCTATTATTAATATAGAATATAACTATAAAATTTTAAAATAGACTTTTTATTATCGAGGTAATTTATAAAATTAATACCTAAAAAATACTATTATTTCAAGTTTCACTAATTTTATATATGTGAGTATATAATCATTCGGCTATTCCAAATATCTTATTACATTCTCTATGATCTTCAGTATTTTCTTTCTTAGATAACTCTAATATCTATCCAATGTCTTAATTAAAAATTAATATTTGATCACACATATACTTGAGCGTGTAATAGACTTTCAACTATGCATACATAAAGAATATTTTTTTATTTAATTCTTTTCTAAGTTATTTAAAAAAAATTATTTTGATTAAATTTTTTTAGCTGCAACATTTTTTCGAATAATGTTATATACTAAATCTCTATAAGACTTGATCAATATATTATTTATAAGATAGTCCTAACAATTCTTAAGATTTATCTTTAAATATTTTAATACCAATAACATAATATGTCTTATTCTCATTCATCTTAAAATTCTCAGTAAAAAATTTCTTGATTCAGTATAATAAACTAAGATCATTGTTGGTAAGTAAAATATTATCTATATATAAGACCAATATAATAAACTTGCTCCTGTTGAATTTTAGATATAAATATCTTAAATATGAAGTAATAATATCAAGAAATTTTATATATTATTATCTACTAGCTTGTTTAAGATCATTAATAGATTGTTTAAATATGCTTACCAAATTATTATTTTTTATTTTCTCTATGAATTGTTTAGATTAACTCATATAAATCTAGATCCCCAATTAGAAAACTTATTTTTATATTCTTATAATATAACTCAAAACCATAATGTTAGTAATGTTATAACGATTTTTAACGAGTTCATTTAAGAAAACTAGAAAAATCTCATAAAAATGGATGCATGAGTAAAACATTTGACCATAAGTCCGATTGTTATATCGTTTGATATTACCCTTTAAGTAGTGTTTATATAATAGACTTTTTTATAGTTATTGGGCAAGTCGATGAGTTCTCAAATACTATTCTAATAATTTATTTTAATTTTTTTATTACATCATATCACTTTTCAGAATTGTTACTTTTAATAACTTATGAAAATAATGAGGAATGCTTTTGATTCTTATATTATAATCTAATTCTTATAGATATACTATATAATAATAAAAATTGATAATTTTTTCTTTTCTTTGAGATATTTTTAAAATTATCAACTGTGATTATTTTATAAAATCATTAGTAGCAATATTAATATTATATGAGAGTTTATTAATATTATTTTATTGATTATCTTTATCAAATCATCTAATAATTTGAGTAGTAATAATATCTTGAATGATAAAGGATTATCAACCTATATCTCCTCAATATCAAGATTAAAATTTGAGATTTTCACTTTCACTAATTCATTATTTTCTAAGAATCTTCGGTTATCAAATTTAATTATCTACGAACTATGATTAGGTTAATAAAATATGTAACCCTTTGAATTTTTTTAGATAAATTATAAAATATTCATAAATAGTCCTTAAATATAATTTCTTTTTATGTTAATTGAAGACCCTATAGGACAATCCTAAATATGTAAATATCTTAAATTAGATTTTCTATCAATCCATAACTCAAAAGAAGATGAAATTGATTTATTAAGAATCTTATTCAAGGTATACATAATTATCCTTAGAGCTTATCCTTATATTGATTCGAGTACAAAAAATAATCCATCAAACTCCTAACCATATCCATAAGAGTACGATTTTACCTTTCAGTAATCCTATTATGTTGTGGCACATATCATAAATCATACTAGTACAAATATCCTACTTTTTAAAAAATCTAACAAAAGAATTAGAATTATGATTGGATTTATTATAACTGTCATAAAATTTATCTCTCCTATCATGTTTGATAATTTTGACTTTTCGTATCTAATTATCTCTCGACTTCATTTATGTATACTTGTATTAATAATTTGAGACCTTACATGAATTAAATATATATAATCATATTTTAATATGTTATCTATAAAGGTAATAGAATGTCTCTTTTTACAAAAATAAAAACACAAAGTGACTCACAAGTATAAGAATATATAATCTCATGGAGTGTATGAAATTATATTTTATCTCAATAAGCATATATCATTCCAAGTCACCTAGTACGTAAAAGATAAAACTTAGAGATATAAGTTACAAATAGTATTCATCAAATTTTTTTAATATAATTTATACCAAAAAGGTTCAATAATAAAATAATAATCATAATAATTATCAAATATTAATTATTATAAAGAAAAACTCATAATTGTAATCATGATAAATCATAAATCATATTTTTATTAAAAAAATAAATATTATTTTATAATTTTAAATATATGCATGTGAATAACCAAATAAATATATAAGAACAATAACTAATTTTTTATTTATCACATATAAAATTTTATCATTATGTCATATGAGAAAACTATTAAAGAAAATCATAATTTATATATATTTTTAATTTCGTATAAAACCTTAAATTAGACCAATCAACCTTATTTAATTGGACATGCCTACAATTAGGTAACCCAAATTGGGCTCATGGATGTGGGCAACCATTTGCCTAATTAAGCCCATCAAAATTAAAATCAATCAAAATAAAAAAAATAAATCAAATTTTGACTTTTTTCGAATTTGATCTAGACTTAATTAATCGAATATAAATCCAATCAAGCAATCAAAATGTAGTAATTATTAAGTTTGATCAAAATATTTGATTAAATTAAATTAAATTAATCAATTTTATAATTGAGAACACAACTGTTGCTTACTTGAGGTGTCGCAACCATTGTCCACAATCGCTGCACAAGGCATGGTCGTCACCACCGTGCACAACAGCCACTTCGCCCAAGGTAGTTATAGTGCGACCGTGCACACACATTGTCCAATGACCCCATTGATCTTCGACATCTAGTGACATTGGCCACGGCTAGCAAATGTCGTCGTAACAACATTGTTGCAACTTCCACAACCGATGCAAGCAATGATGGTATTGGTGTAGCCACCGCATATAACGATAGTGCACAACCACCACAGCTATCAAAGGTAGCGATGGTACTATAGCCATCGTAGGGCTACTGCACCACATAGTGTTGTGTACACAATTATTGCTCGCGATTGGGCTAGCGACCATCGGAGGTCGCCACCCTAAATAATACTATTGTCGACAGTAAGCTGTCAATAGTGGTCCACCAATCAAGCACGAGG